CAGTTCTGAAAACCAATTAACACTCAACTAATCACTAGTGGCTGAAGTTGAGGATCAGAAAGCAGCACAGCTGGTACATCCTGATCTGAGGATGACTCTCATAAATCAGGAAATGTTGAAAGTCAGTATGATCCAGTAGTCCTGAGGGTTTGGGCCCATCGCTGACACTGGAGTGATTTTGAAAGTTTAGAAAGAGAAAGAGGTTGTCCAAGTTGAAATATAAAAGGTGGGCTATTTCGATGTGTATGCTTATCCATCGTGCATATACTTAAAATATATCTATGACTTTTAAAAAACAAACAAAACCCAAGTAGTGTTTTGTTTCCAGAGCAGTTTGACATTCTCTGAACAAATGACTTATTTAGCTACCAGTGCTTGCCAAACATATTGATTTAAAATTACTGTGCTGATGTTTACATAACACAGTATAACATCACACTACATCCATGGGGCAGAAGTAAGATTATAGGGCATTTTTATAATTTGTGATGATCTAATTTAAGGAAGAATCTTGTAATTGTGTCTTTTGCACCAAGGGGGAAAATCAGCCTTTCTCTTCACCCCCCTTATCTGATTATGATGATAGATTATTTTCTTTAAGTAAAGGAATTAAGGGTCTTTTGGTGATGAGTATTCTGGGAAGAGCAAATAAAATTATTAAAGGAATGAGGAGGCATGGAAAGAAATGCAGAAATACCCATTTTTTAGTCTTTTATCAAGAAGGATGAGAAATTATCCAACTTTAATTGTATCAACTAAAGATCATGCAAGATTAAGTGGATGTTTTTGTTTACCAACTCCTATAGTATAAGGAACAGGTATACTTAATATATAAAAATGCACTATTTTCATGTTAGCACACGTTTGGGTCTCACTTGGCAGCACATATGATTTATTTATATTTTTATAGATTTATTTATTTGATTTATTTTTGCATGCAAGAGCTTGGGTATAGGCCAGAGGTATGGGAGTGGGGGTTGAGAGGATTCACCAGAGAAAGAGTAGGCAGCAGAACCAGCAGATTGACTGAGAGCCAGCTGAGGGGAGCAGCTGGTGAGACAGGAGAGGTCTGCTGCGCCATGTGGGTCACCTCCCTGGCCCGGGATCTAACTTGCACTTCAGTGGCTGCTGATAGCTTCAGAGTGCTGAGACCTTGAGCCATCAGGGAGGCCCCAGGATTTAAATGAGAGATCAAAATACATATATATAGTATATATGTCATTTCTATTTCTGTACCTATGACAGACATTACTGACTGATCAGGTTGCTGTTTCCAACTAGGAGTTACATACTCAAAGTCTTTTCTGCACAGTGTGATAGAAAGTCACATAACTGCAGATGGCCCTGGAGATTGAAACCCTTTTGCCACTTGTGGCCTTATTACTCAAAGTGTAGTCTTCAAACTACCAGCACGGTAGCTTATTCCAAAAGCAGAATCTCAGCTCCATCCACAGTCACTGTATTTTAGCATGATCTCCAGTAATTCTGGTGTATATTAGAGTTTAACCAACTGGGAAGAGCTCTGAATGCCAGATATATTCATTAGGGCATCAGAATCACAGGGTAAGCGCTCGTTAAACACAGATTGCAGGTTCCCATCTCCACAGCTTTCAGCTCAGTGGTCTGGGGTGGGGCTTTTAAGTTTTCAGGTGCTGCTGCTACTGGCCTAGGACTGTACTTTGAAAAGCACTGCACTAGAGCCTGGAAATACTTTGGAATTTCACCACGACCTTTAAAGTCGAAGACTGCAATCATGTTCCCTAACTTTGGGTACATCTGCCAGAACTGGGATACGAGTCTCAAGGTGTAAAATAGTTTAACTGTTCTAATAACCTTATGTTCATGAATCTAAAAGGCTCCCTTTCCAGAGAATGCACTCATCTTCCATGAACAATTTGGGTGACTGTTCTCTGCATTATACTCCATGCTGAGGGAATCTCACATTAGTTAAAATGCAGTGCCTTAATGAGGTTTGCTCTCTGAGGAAATAAACACATAGAACAACAAATAACAAGGTGGCCTCAGATAAAGGTGATAAAAGGCAGAAGAGTGCTAAATAAGTGACACAGACCGTGTATTATTTAGTTTCGGAGGGAGGTAGGGTAGCTGAAATCATATACAACTGTTAATTCAGCCTAACTAGACTTAGAAAGTGGCAGGATAGCCTGAGTGGAAGATAAGGTGGCACATTAGGGCAAGAAAGCACCTACTCATTTCTTTTTTTAAGATTTATTGATTTGTGCATACAGAACTGGGGTACAGGCCAGAGATGCAGGGGCGGTGAGAGGATCCACCAGAGACAGAGCAGAACTGGCGGGTGGACAAAGTACACTGCAGAGGGGAGACAGGAGAAGTCTGCCGCCATGTTGGTCACCTCCCACATGGCCAGGGATCTGAACTTGCGATGAAGCAGCTGTGGCCAGCTTCACTGCCCTTTAACCCGTTGTGCCACCAGGGAGGGCCCAGCACCTACTCAAAACCCTTGAACTTTCCTCTTAGTATACAGAATTATAAATCAATGGTATCAACATTATAAATCAATCTCTAGGTTGGGGATCTCAGAGACAGAGAAAACAGAGTTTATAAGCAGAGATGATTGGGGGGAAAGTAACAGTAATTTAATATCAGGGATAACAATCCCCAACTTTTATTTGGTCCCTTTCATTGCCAGGTAATTGTGCTGAGAGACTGTCAGGCCTTATCCCACTGAATCCCAACAACAACACATTATATAAATGTAATCAAACTTACTGCTTACCCCAAATGAAAAATCAGAGCTCTGTGAGGATTCACCTAAGGTTAAAGAACTTGCCCAGCTTAAATCCAGGGCGGGGATTCCTTACCCTGAAGAGTGAGGGCTCTGGCCTGCCTGGATTATCTCTTGCAATTCTCATATACTTTGAGCGAGCCAGGGACACAAACAGCAACTGAGACTAGGACAGAAACCCTCTGGAGGATTAAAGTAGAGGAACCTGTGGGGCCAGTGGGTCCCAAGAACGGACAGGGAGGGGCTCCAACATGAAACGCAGAAGCCAGCCAGGGTTAGGGAGCTTCTCTGGCTTCCTCTGGTCACTTTAATTAGAGTCTGTGGTAGGTTGCAAGGAGGAGCTGTCATGGGGCGGGAGGCTTCTCTGGGTATTCTATTTGTCTATAAATACTTCAAATAGTTAAGTGAAATGTGCAGCCTTTGAAAACTGGGAAGGAAGATATTAGGGGGGGCCCTTGCCCGCCCCCGTCCCCCCCCCCCCCGGAGGAACAGGCAAAAATTGTTCAAATGGCTGGTGTGTTCTCTACGCGGGAAACCAGACCGGCCCTGCCCAGGTCAGACGGCGGCCACGGGGCCGCGGAGGACTCCAACCGTTAAGGTGACCAGAACAATTTGAAAAAGGAAACAAACTTCCCTCCGAGACGTGCCCGCGGCGCCTCGAGGCGGGCGTTTGCGTTCGAAAGGGCATTTTTCAAAAGAAGGCTCTAGAACGCGGGAGCGTCGGCCCGCCGGGAAGCGCGCGGACCGAGCAGTGCCGCAGAGCCGCCACCAGCCGGCTTTGTACTTGCGGCCAAGCGCGGCCGCAGAGTTTCGACCGCGGCCAGGGAGTTGAAGCCACGCCCCCTTTGCAGTGCGAGCCGCGGCGGCTGATTGGTGCGCCGCGGGCCAATGGGCGCGTCTGGGCGGCCCGGGCTGTCAGC